TATAATAGCCCTATTCTATCAATAATATTTAGTTCCTGACCCATGACGATTCCTTTCTTCCTGGTTTTCAATGCGTGCCTATAATAAAATTATAAGCAGTGCCTTTACATTATGAATATAATAGCCTTATCGTGTTAGTAATACTTGTATAATGAGGAAGAAAAGCTTGGAAAACTTAACCCTCACAGGGTATATTGAGATCAAGGGACATAGTTGAAGGTAGCAAGCCACCTATCTGACGATCATGTGTAAATGGATGGTAGAACGTTAATAAAAATATAATTTATTTAATAAATAAAAATAAAAATGAACCTTAATAAAAGGAGAAAACTGCTCAGCGTCACAAAGGAGAGGAAGTTTTGGAGAGCCATGATCGCTAATGTTTTGAAGGGACGCAAAACAGAAGAAGAAGAAGAAGAAGAAGAAGAAGAAGAAGAAGAAGAATTATATTACTGGTCATTCATAAACCTTCCTTCCCTTTTTTCTTGCTTTCAATATTTTTCTATATAATATATGCGAATGGCAGTGTGTCACTTTGTCACGTTTTCAATTTAAGCGACAGAACTATCTAACTTTCAATAATTCATCTCCTATATAATAAATTCGAATATCTGTGTGTCACCCTATAATTCCATTTTCAATTAAAGCGACACGCCTCTCTAATTTTTAATAGCTCATCTTCTTTTATATAATAAATGCGAATGCCAGTGTGTAATTGCGTCACACGTTTTCAATTAAAAGGACAGAACTATCTAACTTTCAATAATTCATCTCCTATATAATAAATTCGAATGTCTGTGTGTCACCCTGTCATTCCATTTTCAATTAAAGCGACACGCCTCTCTAATTTTTAATAGCTCATCTTCTTTTATATAATAAATGCGAATGCCAGTGTGTAATTGCGTCACACGTTTTCAATTAAAAGGACAGAACTATCTAACTTTCAATAATTCATCTCCTATATAATAAATTCGAATGTCTGTGTGTCACCCTGTCATTCCATTTTCAATTAAAGCCACACACCTCTCTAATTTTTAATAGCTCATCTTCTTTTATATAATAAATGCGAATGCCAGTGTGTCACTTTGTCACACGTTTTCAATTAAAGCGACAGAACTATCTAACTTTCAATAATTCATCTCCTATAGAATAAATTCGAATGTCTGTGTGTCACCCTGTCATTCCATTTTCAATTAAAGCGACACACCTCTATAATTTTTAATAACTCATCTTCTTTTATATAATAAATGCGAATGCCAGTGTGTAATTGTGTCACACTTTTTCAACTTTACATTATCTATAATAAAATTATTCGTATTTCATTTACATTATGGATATTTATTAATCTCATTTCAATAATGCTTGCATGGATTCCTAACTATTAATAACACTTTTCTTCCTGATTTTCAATTCTCTTTTATAGAAAGGAAGGCACGGTGGAGTAATGGATAGCGGCTCGGATTCCAGTCGAATCAATTACATTCACTTACGTGCTTGGCAAAAGTATGAATCCTCTTCTTCTCTCCCTACCTATGGGTAAATAGCTGGATAGACCAGGTTCTATAGCCTTTGATGGCAACTGGTCTACCTCAGAAAGAAATGGCAACCTGCCTCGTCAATCATGTATCGAAAGATAAATGATCGCCTAAGTGTGTATCACGCGTGGCACATAATCGACTTTATAGAAAATAACGAACAATAGATTTACATTATACATATAATAGCCTCAATCTTTCAAGAATGATTGCTTTATTACCTGACCATTGAAAATCCCTTTCTTCAAGATTCAAATGCATTCAGTAAAATTATTTAGACAGCATTTAAATGTTTAAAGATCGTCGTTAGCAGAAAAGAAAGAAAGCGAAAGAGTGTTCGACAACCGAGAAGTGCGAGAGAAGATACTATCAGCATAGAACTTGCGCTATACTGAGAAAAATCAATAGTGAGATGATGAGACCTAACTGCCAAACTTAAATTCGTGAAAACAGGATTCCAAAGTTCCAAAGTTCATCAGAACTATTACCATGAAAGTACCAAGCCTAAATAAAATAGATTGCATTTCCTTTTATTTACTCTATTTGCAACGTTCAGACTGTTGTCTTCATCTTTATTGCCATATTCACGACATTTTGCCTGTTGTACACTCCGACCTTCTTTAGGTGATATACGTTGAGAATTTCAAACCGAATCCTTTATTTAGCCTATGTGGGTAGAATATTCTAATTCTACGTGCCATGCCTTTTTAGATATTTCAGTTTCTGTTAATTTCCTTCAGTAAGTCAACGCTCCCTTTTTCCCTATGCTGTGGTCAGGTATTGAACTCACAACTGTTTGGCTCAAGTCACGTTTTGGCTTACTCAACCAACACTTTTATCCACTGGCCCAATAAAGATGAAGACAACAGTTCGAACAATGTAAATAGTGTAAACAGTTACAATACCTCATCTCAGAAATATAGATAGATCCTGAAAAAATCGGACCATACAACGGCCGAAACGTC